CAATGCGAAAAAATCAAAAGGAAAAATATCATCCAATCAATCGATATCAAGACCGTCACTACGGTTATGATCAACTGCTGGACACGCCCAGAAAAGTGCTACTTTCTCATAGACAATTTGTCTGGGAAGTGGAAACCTACCTACTTTCAAAACAGATTCAAAAATCCAGCTACATCTTCGAGGCCTATATTCATATGAAACACGTTGAATTCAATGTCATTGAGTTTAAGTACTACCTGAGCCAACGAAACAATTTTCTCACCAGCATTTCCGTATCTACCAACTCTTAGGAGCGGAAATCATTCACAAAGGCCCCGTCGTTCACGCAAAAATGTTAAATCGATATAGCCTCGCCATCATATTCCTTTAGAGTTTCATATTCAGCAAAGCCAAAACTGCTTTGAATCCTTTAATCTGCAGCAAAAAGGTACTAAATTCAATCAGGACTTGGTGATGAACCCCTGCTACCCACAAAGAAGAGCTTATATCTTTTGAAAAAGCGATTATCATCGATTGCCTAAGTATGAACGACCCGATTGAGTGACTAGTAGAGAAAGAGAAAAGCTCGATGAACACCAATGGAAACGGAATCGTTTGAAGTCGAGGCATACAGGATGTCTATCTGATGTGGAATTTGGAAATGAAAAATTCGGTTGAACCATGGTCTTATTGGTTATGAACAAAAATCGAATATGATGAATGGGATGTGCACCTTTGAAAAAGGAAAGTCTAAAAAAGTTCCGTGATGATATTCAACACAAAATTAAAACCAGATGTTCAACATTACCTCAGCCTATATCAAACGATTGTGCAGTGTGGCACATTCAAAAATAGGTGGATATCTAAAAATATTGAGTAATGTTCTTTCAATGATTTCGTGTATTGAATACCTATACAGGTTGACAAAATAGAGCATATATCCTTCGAGCTACAGCAACTGTGAGTTAGGTAAAAATAAAGATTATCTAAAATTGTGAATAAAATAACGTATCAAATCATCTGAAAATTGGCATGCCTCTGTCTTTTTCGACACTTTCTCTCCTTCTTGCATCAAAAATTATGTAAATCCAGTTTTGGGGGACTTGCAGGGGGGTCCACACTTTCATTAACCCGGAGGAGGTGCATTTAAGGACAAATGTTAATATGGAGGAACCGTCTTATTTTGATTCCAACAATACGCCCTTCAAATATTTACATCGAATTCTAAAATCACCCTGTATATGTCAGATCATAAACGATAAACAATCAAAAACTTGGTCAGTATATATGTATATTGAAGCTAGGCAATTTTCCTAGATCATGCACCTGAAAATTGCAAGGCATACTATGATTTTTACTTTATGAATTGAGCCTGAAATCATACACATACCTATTATATTGAAATCGAACTGATATTTATTCATAAATGGATATAAACGAGGAGAGGAAATCACGGAAAATTCAGAGACCTTTATATTCCACCTTCTCGATTAACATGTGCGACATGTTCACTGAAGACGAGTGTACATTGTCACAATACCAGAAGACAAAAAGCAAATTTTTTGTATATAAATTCTGGGAATATTGTCTGTGATACTTTATTTACAAAAGGTTTAGTATTGTTCAATAATTTGCCATGTAAAATGAAAAAATATGTGTCACTAGATAGTTTTGAAGAATCGTGTATGATATTTGTGAAAGGAAATTATTGATAAATCAATTGTGAAAGGAGAAATCTGTAAATTACCCTTATCTTGAAATATATGACGTAATTCATGGGTCTGATATGTCTGAGTTCGATATTTCTATTTTTTTACTCATTGACTTATCGTATTTTATTGTAGATTTTACTGTAATGATGAGCACTGTGCTAATAAAGTTCGATATTATGTCAGTCAGTTAAAGTGTAGGAACCGATCCTCAGATGTTATAATCGGTATACAAGGTGTACTTGAAGGGTTTGTACAATATCTTAGCACATATTCCTGAGGTCAAAATAAGCCGATTTGAAACAAATTATATCGGCCGGAATTGCTTCGTTTCAGAGATATACAGGGTGGTGGAGATAAAAAATGAAAATCCATTTTTGCACTGCTGAATCACTGACCAAATTACATCCAAGAAGATAACAGCAAACATTTTTCATTCAAAATAACTCAAATATTCCAGTGCTGCATGGAGCACTAAAAACCGAGACACCTAAAAATAAAATATGCTTACCTTACTGGATCATCACAAGAGTATATTTTATGATTGAAAATGTTCAAAATGAAATTTTTTCTACGATTAAAGTGAGAAACTACACTGAGAAAAAAGTTGTGGTCATTCTAAACCATAAGAAATACATTGGTAAGCGCGGTCTAAGTTGAAATGTACTTTTATTCGTGTTTTGTATCTCAAAAATACCCCAAACATCAATTTTTGAAGTTGTACACTCAAAAATGTTGGTAAATTTTGAGAAATTCTATTTTTATTCTTCAACTCCCCACCCTGTATTTCGGAAAAAAAGCCCTTTCATAATGAGGTAAAATGCTTTGATTCGGTTCATTTTGACCTCAGATATACTGCTGACATCTTGTACAGATCTTTCAGGGACACCCTATCTTCTTTTTGTCAAAAAATCTGTTTTTGAGTAACATTGTACGTATCATTGAAGATCTGAGCAATACACACATTGTGGACTTTGAATTCCTATATGTAACTCTTCATCAAATGATGGGAGCTATCACCTTGGAAGAATCGATGGTCCAATTTCGCAACACCCTGTTTATTATATTGAAAGAACATATAGATGGGATGCTACCAATTTTTATTCAACATTCATTCATATTTCTATCATCGGTAGAGTTGTGGAAGTCTCACAATTTTGTGAATCACCCTCAACAGAAACTCATAGCTCTGTCAGTTATATCTCTGTTGATATCATCATTGCCGAAATAGATCAAACAGCCTTATCCCCATGCTTTTGGGGCCATCTGGCGTGTGCGTATCAAATTTAATAAATTAATCTTTGGTGGATTAAAAGATCGACGATGGAATGAGATAGAATTGAGGGGAAGTCGAACAATCCAATCAGGCCCATGGGGTTGCTGTGATGTTGAGTTGAGTTCTCGCCCTCTTCTGATGGGAAGTGATGGATAATGTCAATTATTATCAAAATTTTGATTGGAATATCTGAGACCCAGGAGAGTGAGAATAAGGTTAAAATACATTCTGTCACAAAATGGTGATGGTATATAACCTGTACGAGAAGTATGAAGTGAACACAAGTACAGAAATAGCCAAAATGTTGAAAGTTAAAAAAATACTTAATCACGAAGTCAATTCCACAAATGTTCATGAAGTAAACAACAAGGGTAGATGACGGGAGAAAAACAATTACTTTCCTGGCTAATTCCACGCAGAACATTGAATAACATCCTCCCGAAATCTATGCATCGATTCGTATGAACGAATACTGATGCAAGTATATTTTCCTAAATGCCGATTTCGAGAGCACATATCAATGAATTCTATTTGAGGTTAGTGACAATGTTCTTATTATTGAGAGCACTTAACACGTATCTTCAGTAGTGGTATATTGAATTTTTGTACCTCGATCAATTTATTCTTGGAAATCACTGTAAAACTTTAGTGTCCTCAAATGAGGACACTGGTAGTATATTAATTTTTTTCTCTCACAGTTCTTCGACATTCTGATATGGTGAAGATCTGAGGGTACAAATGGTGAAAGATGCCATGAGCCGGAACAGATATTTCGAGATCATAAGTCATTGCAAGATAATGCAGATGCGTTACGATGTAAACACATTTTGATATAATCGAGCCTTTATGTTTATAACGGAGGTGAAATAAATACACGATTGGCTTCTTGAGGAACAGTCAGTTTCCAACAGGGGTAAGAAATTGTGTTGATGCTTGATAACCCGAAGGCACGAAAGGGAATCCCTATAATGTTCGGAGAACATCGTGCGTTCCTATAGAGGATGCGGAGAGAAGGTAGGTATTGTATTTTCTTAACTTTTGGAGATTATAAGTTCTTGGAAATACTTCCTCAACAAAGAATTTCAGAGCTTTGCTGTTCTATAGAGAAACGAGTTCAGATGAAGTGCTGTTCGACATAATTCGAGGTTGACAACGGAAGGATGTGCTGTGCTTTTCGAGTACGTCTGACTGGCATTGCTTGTGCCTTCCTACGGTGGTCCAATGATGTCTAAGTAATTGGCATCACCCACCAGGCGAATGGCTCTTCTCTGGATGGGTGCTGGACCCCACTTGTGGAAACAGTATTCTAGAACAGGCCGTATCAATGCTCTCTAAGTCATGAGAAGCTGTTGAAGTGTATAGAAGCTTTTCGCACGGAACAATAATCCGAGTTTTCGGTGATGGAGATACCGATACTTGGTAATCAATAGGGCTTTAGTCAACATAATCATTTTATAGAACTTGCTACATGCACAGGTGCGTACCCAAATTGCTTTCCATACTTAAATTGGACCAGGATCGAAGATAACAGAAATTCAGAGCACTTGATTTACCTTCAACATATTGAGGATGAAGTTTTGAATACAGTCTAGTTTGATGAAGCAAACTATATTATGAATAAGGAATTACCATCGCAGATGTCAATGCAACACTGTGTTTTCTTGTTATTCTAAATTCTTTCATGATAATAATAATGATGACTGCATCAATTTGATAGTGAGATAAGGAGTACATTTTCATATAATATTGCCTTCTATCAAATGGCAGGTAAGAATTAGCTCCTTGTGTCCCCTAGAACTTGAAAATTTCTGAAATTGTTTTCATTATTTTGCGAAATTTCTTCAATAAAATACAATCTACCAATCTCTGATGACTATTGTCCTTGAAGCTCACTGTACTACTACAACATGGATTGCGCAGCGTCCTCATATGAGGACGGCTCACAAAATCGATATTGGGATTTGAAAACATTTACCGAACACTCAGATTTCAACCATTATATCGTATGAGTAAGTCCTGTTCAAATCCTGAAGCTTTTACAGAAGAATAATTTGGTTGCACTGGTTGCACTCACCGTTGTGTACGAGCAGCGTGGAGTCCCTGGCCAAGGCCAACTCGGAATCGGTCAAGGTGGCGTCGGAAGCGTTCTCGGAGGTGGGGGTGTCGCTGAGGCCGGCCGGCTGCTGGTAGAGGGGATGCTGGTAAGTGTGCTGGGGGTTGTAGCGCCTGGCTGGGGATTCCTCGCCCTCGGAGCCGCTCAGGCTATACGCCGGGTAAAGGCGCCCCTTTCCTGAAAATCAACGGAAACATAAATGATGTAACAGCCTTCATATTTTCAACATTTAATGACAGACATTATTGTAATGAATCCAGTAATAACAGTGATAATGACAGTAGTATGGCGTAATGATCTGACATCCCATCGTCTTGTCAAATTTAACTAGGTAGTTATTCGTTCTACTAGTTCTACCCAAACGTTTGTGAAATACACAAACATTCAAAAGACGCACCTTACATGGTTATCCTAGTTTTAATCAACTCAATTATACCAATACACGGAAAAATGAGAATTCACTGTTTTTCATTCTCTATAGTGACTACTGTCATGATTAATCATAACCATGAACTTGACAGTTGCAGATTGGCTCAAACTCATGAACCATGGAACGTCATTATTGATAACTAGCATTTTGAGACAGGGTACTACAATATTAATCATCGCGGTGGGGTAACGCTACAGCGGAAGCAAGTTAATGAATAATCTGCAATAGTATGATTCATTTTACAACTGAAAAGTGAAATCGCATATAAAACCTGATGAGATTGACTGATAAGTGATTGCACGGCTTTTTTCCTGTTAAAAGTTAGATCCCACATTGTTTATCATATTTTCAAAATCAAAATAATTGAAATAAGTAATAAGCTGCTCGTTGATTGAAATTTCTGTCAATGAGTTTTCGATTAAATAAATGAGTATTTCGAATCAGATTGAGTGATTTCGTAATAAAATAACCTTCATTATTTCCAAAGATATATTTCTGAACTCTCAGAGTTGCTTTGATATTTGAATAGCTGTAGATAAAGTATAGTATTCTGCTCGCATATAATGACTACTACTCACTCAGATGATTACAGCACTCGCCTTCGGCTCGTACTGCAACTTTCATCTTCGTGGGTAATATCCATCATTATGCGCTCGTTGAATAATATACTATTATCCCCTCACTTTGGCGCCTGTTCGAACAGAGACTACTCGAGTATTTGATGGGGAGGGAAATGGGGTCTCGAGCGCCAGATTTTTTATGAGGTAGTTTACTCCACCTGCTCTGCACGAAGCTATTTTTGTACAGAGACCCAAAGTAGCAACAGTGGAGACAGGTACAGGATGTATACCTACTTCGGTACCAGGGGTCAATGTTATTGAATCGACCTGAAATCAATAAGGAGCCAAGGGAGTGTTGGATTCAATTACAGACCCTGGGTTTAGCCTGGAATACGGGTTGCTATTCTTAGTCTGGGTTACAGAAAACAAAGCAAATATCTATCGGGTCGCTGGTATTTTTAGGTTAGGCCTGGAAAGTTATTAATTCAAACTATTTCATGAAGTCTACCTGGAGAATCGGAAACACAGTCCCAAATGAATTAAACAATTCCTATTTATCTTTCCTTTTCCTTCGCTATTCTAATTTTTCAATATCGGAATTTTAGTGAGGTTAATCATATATTCCTATACATGTCAAAATTTCATCAACCACTGGCCACAGCCTGACAGGATACCAAGCACAGGGACACCGGTGCACAGGACTGGAATTCTCAAGGAATAGAAGAATGGTAGAATTGACAACTGGCTTGTCAGTGTCATCCGTCAATCAATAATAATAATAAGCAATTTGACAAATGAAAAGATTGGAAATCATTAAATAAAGTACAGGAACTATTCGGAACTGAAAATATTGACAGCATAGAAAGAAATATGAAATATGCAATAAAAAAAAACCGTTTATTCGCAAATACAAATTTCTGGTTTCTTTACACAGGTCGGGTGAGTATCGGTATGAAAAACAACAGGAATGAAATGGATCTATAAACAGGATGAATAATAATGGTGAAAAATATGATACAAACTCACATGTGCAACAGGAAATCACTATACATTAATACCTTTCACTGGCTTTGAATGAACTATGAGAGCACTAAGAGATCAGCAAGAGAACTATCAGGAGAGACACAGTGACAGTGACAGGAATAGCATCCAAGGAAATAAAAGAGATGGACTATACATTCCATCAATACATTCAATTTTTCACACATTAATGTGCTCAACTATAGGTAATTGTCTGGAATAGTTGAATCTGTCAGCCGTTAAGGCTATAGGCTAAAGAAGTCTTGATATAGTTATACGCCAGTATAAGCCAAGTTTATAAGTCTTAATAGTTCTATGAATCTATTCGTTAGTGAGCGAGGTGGCAGGACAAGGGGATGGGGAACTATCATGGGGTTCGTATACTATTGAGATCACATACATACTCAGCTAGTAATATTATAATGGTAATTATTGGTCAACTTGTTTTGATCTGAATTTTCCTGTCTAGGAAATATGATCAGACCACAGAAATCGGTTACCTACGCATTGTAATCAATGCACGATGAAATGTAAATTGTTCATAATTTGATGAATATTTAATTTGTTAAATATTTGAACTTATAATTTTCGGTGCAATCGTCAATAATTCCGAATTAGTCACGATGAATATTTCATGCAACGTATGCAATTGTTTGAAGAACAATAATTGGAATGACTTATTTTCATTTCATACTATATTCCAACGAAAAAATGAATAGCATCGTTGTTTATTGCTGGTTAAAAATGTTGCATAAATTTCCCACGATAAAACATGATACGCTCAGGAAATTGTCTACCAGCGTGCAGAAAAGTCCAGTATTCCGCACACATTTTAGTTTTCAAAGAGTCATTTTCCGCACTAGTGCGAAAAAAAACTTTCAACACTAGAATAGTTGCGGAAAAGAAGAATTTGGTTTTTTTCACTCGCTAGTGGAAAAAAGTATACTTTACACGTGCGGAAAAGTATGTGAAGTAAGTAATATGATTTGATGAAAGACGTGCACAAAAAACGGCCAGGACTGTTACTTTCGAATTATTCCAGATAGGGTTTTGGAAATTGGTGGCTCGGTGGTCGAGAGCGTGAAGGCGCTGAGTTCGTATGGAGACTCTCACCGAGACATAGGTTCGAATCCTAGTAAGGCCATGGGTGTTTCGACTTATGGGGCGTTGGGTTATGTCAAACAATTACGCAGATATTCGCGTTCTGAGTTTCTATATGCTCGACGGGTGTGACAGAAAAAGAAGTTTTGATATTGCGAAGTCACAACCATTGAGCATATGGAAACTTCGAACACGTTACTTGTAGCTCTGAAAATGCAAGGTCTGCTGACCGAAATCACCATTGTGCGGCTGGCTTCTGTTTGTTGCCTATCTTTTGCACACTTTTGTCACCGTACTGATGAGGGCCGAAAGCCCGAAACACGTTTCTAAGTTTAACTCTTCATGAGGGCAATGTCCAATAATGTTATCCTTGTATTATGTGGGTATATAGTGGAGAAGTCGATCGTTCGGTTAATCACAAATAATATGAAAACACTCGATTTTACAAAAATGTTTCCTCATTCAGGGTGATATTCAAGTCCCTTGCCAATCTCATAGGTCTATGAATGCTTCCTTTCCAAGATACAGGGTGTCAAAGTTTCAATAAAAAATCGTTTCTTATCAATTATTCTCCGATTTCAATGAAACTTGGTGATTTTGTCAACAGTATCAAGAACCTCATCTTCGTGTGATTAAATTCAAAATTATAATGAGAAACAACAATCGATACTTACAACTTCAACACAACAAAACAAAGTATTTCAGGACCTATATGTTTATATAAACTTTTCCTCTTGAAGTTTGAATACATACCTAAATAACACCCTGTATATGTATATTATGTACATCACATGATGTACATCACGCTCTATTCATACAATGAAAGGTGAACAATGTATTGGTAGGTACCTATATCAATGCCCAATGCCCTTTGTCATTCAAGATTTTATGTTATCTGTATCTGTCGCCCCACATACTTGAACTCAAACATAAAAGAGTATTCGATTTCTGGGAAGACCACCCTGAAGGGGCATTTTGACCTATACCAGAGGACAGTTAGATTATACAGGGTGAAGAAGAGTGATAGGGTATAAAATCTCCATATGGAACTGTTTGCGATATATTATTATTATATAGCAATTCGAAGGGCTGTAAATACATGGCCACCGCCAGAATTACTTCCCGGGAGGTGTATATATTAATAATACATTATTATATAATGTATGTTGAGTCAATTAACGAACAAATGTTGATACTGAATGGCAACCAAGAACCTTCCAGTTTTTATTGGTACAGTAGTAGTAGTAGTAGTAGTAGTAGTAGTAGTAGTAGTAGTAGTAGTAGTAGTATAGAAGTAGTAGTCGAAGTAGGAAGGGGGGCTGTAGCCAAGCAAGTAGGATCCGATGGACCTTTTTTGCTAACCCCTGCTCTTCACATATCTACGCTTCCTTCACCTAGATTGCCTTCACGAATCTCCCTGATCTTCTGATTAAGGCCAGTTTGTCCGTCCACTCTAATATAATCAAGTCCTCCTGTTGGAGTTTGTCTACTTCAAAGATTTCAAATCTCATCCTTCCGTCCGCCTCGCACTCGCCGACAAAATGGAGTGACGTTTCGTCGTCTTCCCCGCATCTGCGACAAGAGGGGTTGTCCTCTATGTCCATAAGTGATAGGTGTCTGCCTAGTCTGTTGTGTCCTGCGAGTACTCCTATGAGGAGGCGGAGTACTTGGCGGTCTCTGCCAAGCAGCTACTCCTTCCTTGATTTGCTTGAACCGGCCATGAATTCCTTGGCCTGCCTGCAACCTGTGATATTCCTCCAGCATTCTCCGAGTACCTTGTCCGCCCATTCATCGGGGGCTGACGTAATTCGGCTCCTTGCTATACCTAGTACAGGCTCCGTTCCCAGAAACGGCTCCGTGGATCCGGCCCTAGCAAGATCGTCTGCTGTTTCTTTTCCGGGCACCCCATTGTGACTCGGGACCCATCTCGGGACCCATACCAGTTCAACTTCCTTTGATTCGGCTAATATCTCAAAGGCATTTCCACATTCCTGAACCAATGCTGAGCTTGGTCTGGGATGACAGATAGCCTTGTGTG